ACACTTGCAATCGACAGCTTCGTGGCAAGCTCACTCGAGCAACATGTGCAGCATCAATTCGATACGGTACATTGCGCCTGGTAGCTGCACTGCATGCCGTTCCTAAGGCTCCTGTGTCCTACGAAAGACTTCTCGCTTGTAGCGGCCAGATCAGGGGTCGACACGGTCGACTCGACCAGTGGTTGGTAAGTTGAACCTTAAGTTTCTGAAGCCATGTTTGCTCTTTGTTCTGTCTGCCATTCTCAATCATCCTACTAAATATAATGTAATGTGTGACAGAAGTTCACTTTAACCGACCTATTTGTGCTGTCAGAACAAATATACTATCCAGAAAACTATTTAAGCAATTGCGCAAATCTGTTAACAGCCGCAATATAATCCACCCTGGCATCCAATCAATGGCCAGCAGCCACGTACCCCTTCGACTCGAAGTTCGAGCCTCACATCCGTATTCACCTTGACACCATCGGCATGTCTTCCAACGTTGTGAACCTGGACGCGCCCCGCTGGGACCAAAGCACATACACTGGCCGTGCCAAGCACTTCTTCGCCACTACCAACCCACTTAACGTGCTGGCCAGTGATGCCGAGCTGGACGCTGCCAAGCAGCTCGTGGAGGAGTACAAGGCTGGTCAGCACCCCAACCTGAGCGAGGACGAGATCTGGAATGCCAAGCAGCTCGTAGACAGCGCCTTCCACCCGGACACGGGCGAGAAGAATTTTCTGGCTGGTCGTATGGCCTTTCAGGTGCCCGGAAACATGATTATCACGGGTTGCATGATGACTTTCTACCGCTCCACGCCCGCTGTCATTTTCTGGCAGTTTATGAACCAAACTTTTAACTCCATCGTCAACTACACGAACCGTAATGCCAGTACGGGTGTGAGCCAGGAGCAGCTGCTGCAGGCTTATGTAGCCGCCAGTACGGCCTCGGTGGCCACGGCTCTGGGACTCAACAAGTTTGTGGCGAAGCGTCCGAAGCTCAGCAACGGCATCGTCGGCCGTCTCGTGCCCCTCGTGGCTGTGGCAGCCGCTAACTGCGTCAACATTCCGCTCATGCGTCAGCGTGAGTTGCTCGGCGGTATTGAAGTGGAGACCGACGACGGAGAGAAGATCGGCAAGAGCAAACGCGCTGCCGTCGAGGCTGTGGCTCAGGTCGTGCCCTCGCGTATCCTCATGGCTGTACCGGGCATGTTCTTCCCGCCTCTCATCATGAACAAGTTGGAGCAGCGTCCGCTGTTCCGTAACAACAAGGCAGTCAACGCCCTAACAATGGTGGGACTCACCGGTGTGTGTCTGAGCTTCTCGACTCCGCTCTGCTGCGCTCTGTTCCCGCAGCGGAGCTCCATGACCGTGTCGTCACTTGAGCCTGAGCTGCAGGAGACGATCCGTCAGCGCACGTTCAAGAAGGACCCGGTGACGCACGTCTTCTACAACAAGGGCCTCTAAACGGGTATGGGCCACATCGTATTGTGCCCCTAGAACGTTTATTTCGACGAGCAGCATCCGCCGACGCAGACTACTACCTCATGTATACCAATACAACCGTTCGATAGCATACAACTGCCCCTGTACTTGCATGTAATGTCCTCAAAATCGAGTCCTAGTTGTGTCCTGTGGGTGTGTAGACGACGAGCATATTGAGGCAACGTCCTGAGTGTCCTAAAACCTTCAGCACGTGCTGCAGCCTCCGACGCGGTCTCGAGGAATCAGGCGCAGCTCTGAACCATGCTTCAGGAACACATTACCGGCACTCTGCGACGGATTGATGCCGATACCATCTATAGCGACAGGCTCGTCAGTATTCTGACGTATAATCCAGTTTCTCGAACTCTCTTACCATTGGTGATGATGGCGCTGGTAGCCGCAGGCACGTGGAACTGTTTCGGCCATGAATCAAGCCGTAAGATTGTCAATACTACACCAAATAAGGCCATTTAAAGGGATACTGGGCAGATATTTACCTCCTCCGCGACGTATTTGAGCACAGCCGTGAATGGAGCCTGCTCCGGCACGTTCACACTGCAATTGAATTAATAGACGACGAGTTAGAAGAAGGCGGAAGACAGCGAGACAGCGACGGACGACGCACACTCGGTACGGCAGCTTGGGGTCTGACGTGAGTGTAACCTTGAACGTGACTTTGGCGGCCCTGGATATGCACAATAAGCAGCGTCAGGTGACATCGGCCAGCAGCGTAGGGCGGAAGAGAGGCGCCACGTACATTATCGCTAGAGCCTTGATTGAAAACGAGAGTGAAAGGGAGCGAGTTATCAAAACTATGCTAATACATAGGCACTATATTATTTCATAAACGTTTGCTGCACTTCAACCTGCGACGGAAGGTTGAGCATTCCGCAATCGCCATACACCGCGTTTTTCATAACGTGGATGATAATTACCAGCATCAAAGCGACCGACAGCCAGAGAACGAGTCTGCGTACACGTCGGTTCCCGTCTTCACGCTTCTTTCGGCTGTTGGTGCATATGCCGGTCGTGCACTCGCAGTGGAGTGCTTTTGTTTACCAGTGGCATGATCGACGGCGTTCCGGAAACGGTCAACGCACAATCCCCACCTGAATAAAAAAATCGACGACATTCATTCATGTAAAGCGAAAAGTAATTTCTGAACCGCTGCAAATTGTTGCAAGTTGCAACATGCAACTTGCAACACTGTTCATTAAGCTTTGATATTGTCGTGGGAGCTGCACTACCTTAAGTTCAGAATGACTGGTTGTTGAGGAACTTATTAAGCATGTCAAGCGCCACAGCAGGTTGGTCCTGTGGCACCATGTGACCCGAGTTGAACACCTTCAAGAACGTGAACTGGTTGTTGAACGACCGCACGACGCCACCATTCGTTCCGTCGGCCGTGGTGTACGTCGTCTCCGGAGCAGCGTTGAATCCCTCCTTTCCCTTCCAGTCGAGAGCTAGCGTCCATGCCTGGTTACCGTACCAGTTGCACATCAAGTCGGCGTCGCCAGCGTAAATGAGGACGCGCAGGTTGTCGTTCAGCAGATCCGCCACGTACGTGTGGAACGGCTTGGCCATATCTGCCGTCATGTAGAACGCCATGTTGACGTCCATGTTGCACTCCTGCCACGCACCCACACGCTTCGAGTCGACGCCCAGAGATTCACGAACATTAGGAGAGTCCAGGTATTTGGAGACATACGACATGTCGTAGCACTTGGTCGGGTCGTCCATCTTGGTACACGGCATGCGGATGTCGTACGGGTTCCGGTTGGCAGATAATAGCGGAAGAAACAGCTTCTCCGTGCAGAACACGGTTCCTTCAAAGCACGCCGTGATATTCTGCGGACAGTCGCCGAGAATTGCGCCACATACAGGTGCATCGGCCTTCATTTGTTCAAGTTGAGCGGCGTCCACAAGCGGGATGTCGTACGCGTTCTTCTCCGCCATGTCAACGTAGTGTGGTTGCTGGATGGAAGCCTGTGTGATACCGTTGCCAATCGCGATTCCCTTTAGATTAATGTGCTTCGACGTTCCGATGTTTACCTTGTTCTGTTCCCAAACGTAGTGTGCAGCTACAGGAACATAGTGGCCGCCGTAGCTCTCGCCAGTGATGTAGAAGTCGCGACCGGCAAGTTCCGGGTGTTTCTCAAAGAAACCTTGCAAAAAGTAGTAGATATTCTCCCCGACGTTGTCCTCGCTGTTGTCGGAGTCACGTTCGTCGCCGTATGTGAACCCCACGGTCGTTGGCTGGTCCAACCAGACCACGTTGCTCTCGTTCGTCCATGAGTACGGGTTGAGTTTCGTAGACAAATCCGGCTGTACGTGACACGGTCCGTTCTCAGTGAGAAGCGCCATCATACTGGAGCATCCTGGTCCTCCCGTGAGCCAGAGCACGAGCGGGTCAGTAGCTGGCTGGCTGCGTGACTCGAAGTACCAGTAGAAGTAGTGGTCGTCGACCTTGTTGGGTAGTTTGATGTATCCCGAGTCTTGCGTAGTGAGTCCGCAGAAGACGTCATGATTTCCAGTCCCCGTAGTTACAGGAATACCTTCCGGCTCAGTATCGACCTTCTTCTTGAAGAAAGGTGGCTCTACCACGTACACTACTATCAGGCAAACGCCAATGAGCGACACCACAGCGATTAACGCGCGACGGATATTACGGTTGCGAGCCTCCTGCTGCGCATAGCGCTGCAAGCTGGGGCTCAGCGTCAACGGGGTCGTCTCGGACGCCATTAGCAAGATAATCCTCAGCCACTTGTGCTTGACGCGTGCAAAACTCGGAGTGATGAGTGTGTCAATGGCAACGAAAGTATCCTCCCCTTCAAACTCAGATCTGTAACCGTTCACAAACCATAGTGAGAGCAAGGTTATCGTCGTTATTTGACTGCAACGCAGCTGCATATTGCCAATCAAAAATCGCCAGCCGTTGCGTTACAAAGTGTCCATTTCAAGTGGACACTTGCTCGCACTGCGCTCGTCTGTCTTTCCTACGACGCCACAACTCGCGCTGGTCGTTCGGACTCCTTCTCCGCACTGCAAGACGGACCACAAGACGGCATGACGTCCGAGACGACTCCGTTGAGGCTGCGCTCGACGTCGCTGCAGTATAATCTGCGCATCTGGAGACGCGAAGAAGCGCGCAAGAGAGACCTCAAGCGTGGTGGCGCCTTCATCTTCGCGCTATGTGCCATCAGTCTCATGGTCATGTACGTCGCTGAACCTCTGACTGACAATGCAGAGAGCGACGATACTGAGACGCAAGTACAGACGCACGCGGCGACACAAGGAGAACCGGTGAATACAACGACGGATAGTGAGGTCTTCTGCGGGCTCACTACGCAGGACTCGGGATACATCAAGCTACCAAACAAGGTCGACGACCACTACTTTTACTGGTACTTCGAGTCACGCAGTCAGCCAGCTACTGACCCGCTCGTGCTCTGGCTCACGGGAGGACCAGGATGCTCCAGTATGATGGCGCTACTCACTGAGAACGGACCGTGTCACGTACAGCCAGATTTGTCTACGAAACTCAACCCGTATTCATGGACGAACGAGAGCAACGTGGTGTGGTTGGACCAGCCAACGACCGTGGGATTCACATACGGCGACGAACGTGACGCCGACAACAGCGAGGACAACGTCGGGGAGAATATCTACTACTTTTTGCAAGGTTTCTTTGAGAAACACCCGGAACTTACAGGTCGCGACTTCTACATCACTGGCGAGAGCTACGGCGGCCACTATGTCCCTGTAGCGGCGCATTATATGTGGCAGAAGAATAAACAGAATGCTGGCACGTCAAAGTTTATCAACTTAAAGGGAATTGCTATCGGCAATGGCCCTACACAAGCGGCAATTCAGATGCCACACTACATCGATATGGCTATCCACAACGCGTACAACATTTCGCTAGTAGATGTAGCGCAACTGAACGAGATGAAGACAGCTGTACCAGTGTGTATCTCTCTCTTGGAGCAGTGTCCACAGAACGTGACGGCGTGTGGTGTCGGAGAGGATTTCTGTATGGAGAAGTTGTTCGAACCGATGCTCAAGGCCGATAGAAACCCGCTCGACATCCGTCTGCCGTGCAAAAACGACGGTGACGACACTGAGTGCTACGATATGTCTTTTGTATCCAAGTATCTAGACGCACCCAACGTACGCGAAGCGCTAGGAGTGGACTCGAAACGTGTAGGCGCGTGGCAGGAGTGTAACTCGAAGATCTACGAAACGTTTCTAAAGACTGCAGACCCGGCCAAGCCATTCAACGCCTACGTGGCAGATCTACTGAACGACGACGTGCGTGTTCTCATTTACGCGGGTGACGCAGATCTCGTGTGCAATTGGTACGGCAATGAAGCATGGACACTGGCACTGCAATGGAAGGGCAGAGATGGCTTCAATGCAGCACCAGAGACCTCGTTTCTAACAGCAAATGGAACGAACGCAGGAATGGCGCGATCATTCAACCAGTTCACGCTGTTAAAGGTGTTCAACTCAGGGCACATGGTGCCGATGGATCAGCCGGCTGTGGCATTAGAAATGCTCAACAAATTTCTAAAAAACGAGCAATTTTTAATGACTTTTTAAAGAGTGTAGATAACCTAAAAAAGTGTAGCTATGCTTTGCTCAAATGCTCATCAACTTCTTGGCGTTGTCACGTAGCATTGCACTCTGCGTTTCTTTGCTCATGTTGGCCATGATTTCGTAGTTAGACAGCGTCGATCGCCAGTCTAACTCGCTTAGATCTTCGCCCTCGTTCGTCTCCTTGTCCTTCGCAGGAGGGAAGAACGGATGGTCTGTCCCAAAGACGATCTTGTCACTCCCGACAAAGTCGATCAGACATTGCAGCGCTGGCTCGTGATACGCCACCGCATCGTAGTAAAACCTTTTCAAGTACACACTCGGTGCATGCTTCAGCTTCTGCGCAGTGGCAGCATCGTGTTCGACACAACTATCCAGTCTACCGGCCAGAAACGGTAGTGTGCCTCCCGAATGGGCCAGTAGCAATCTCAGAGTATCCGGGACTTTATCCAACATCCCTGAGAGCACAAGCTGCGATACCGCCACTGTCGTCTCGAACGTGAAGCCCAAGGCAAGATACAGCGCATGGCCGTACTTACCATAGTGCTCATTGCCCACTCCATAATGAGGATGGAGGAAGATCGTGAGGCCAGCACAATCAACAGCTTGATAGAATTCGAGCATTTCAGGGTCGTCTAGCCCTTTGCCATTGAGTCCGGCAGTGCTGAGGATCACACCGCGGACGTGAGGAAGCTCACTCGCCACGCGTTGGATCTCCTCGACTGCGGTTGGGGGATCCTGTGGAACTACACCAAAGGCGAGGAGACGCCCATTCGAGTCTTGACAGAGTGTATCCATGTCGTTGTTTAACAGTGTCGCCTGAAGGATCTGCTCGTTTAAAGGCAAGAAATCGAGCCATGGATTGGCAAGACTCAACACGGACGTGCGGATACCGTGGCGATCCATGTACCGGATCTTGTTGGCCACGTCCCAATATTCTTTCCCAATTGGACGACCGGCGCTGATACCGGGGCTTGTGGAGCTTTGCTGCTCCATTTGCTGTTTCTCAGCCGGGAGGATGATTAAACGTTCTCCTCCGACGCCTGGACGCACCATAGGGACGTCGCTTCGAGCACGTAACAGGTCCATGTAGCGAGGGAGATACACATGTGTGTGCAGATCGATAGCATCGAGATCGCGGACGCTCGATTTGCCTTGAGAGGCCAGCAGCTTAGCGATGCCGGACATGGAGGGAGGATATCCAAAATTTGTGAAGTTGGTACAGTATCAGCTTGAATGTACCCATCTTGGCCGTTATCAGGTTTGATGTTGAAGTGGGTCCAGCTCGTGTCAATGGGTCTCCCTTGATGACCCGAGGCAAGGAGCCGCGCTGGCGTGCGAGCGCTGATATCACAACTGGCATGAAATGCGATGGAGGAGTCGACTGTAATTTTTGGTCTGGTCGCAGTTCCACTCAAATTTCTTTTGAAACGGAAATGCTCGAATAAAACTTTTAAGTCTTATTCGCCATGATACTCTTTTAAAACTTTAGTAGTAAATCTTCAAATTACTTCCAGATTTGCTAATAATTATTTTGCACGAGTCTTCAAATTACTTCCAGATTTGCTAATAATTATTTTGCACGAGGACAGAGAGATGGGCTTTGGTCTTTAGACTGCCGTAGCGGAGCTCCTCTTGTGGCGTGCGTCAAAGTGGTCGACTCCACTGATTCGATGAATACGCCACGGGAGCTTTTATCTGCCTTTAACTACATTAAACGACTGCTACCAGGATCCAGAGTCGATCGCTGCAGCTGCTAAGCAGATCCAAAGTGACTTGAGCGTGTCATTTATTGCATCTGATGGCGTTCTTCTTAGAGTCTCTACGAGTCGCGACAACTCGATCACTTCGCAATTTGCCGCCAACCAACTCAGTCAACTATCAATATGGCGCCACGAGCCTCCGTTGACTTCATCACCGCTCAGGAGCCTGCTACGCTGTCGCGTCTTCACGGAATGCTGTTGACCTGGGACCCTATGCTGCTTGAAACTTTCATCAAAGCAGCCAACAACGACGTCCCGGTCGAGCATCCGGATCTCGAGCTATCGCGGTGGCTCACGGAGCCTCGTGGAAGCCTCACAGCGCAAGGTTTTGTCCATGACACAATGACGTATCTCGCAGAGTCGTCCGGTGGCTATCGTGGCACCACCATGTCGCCACTCACACCCATGCAGTCGAATCGTCTCTCCAGGAGAATGGGACAGATTGAGATGGACAGATTTGTTCAAGCCTGCGCTAAGAAACTACCCGAAGGCTCATGTCTTGTCTCCGGAACGCTCTTCTTCCAAGACCCCAACACGGATGGAGTTCCGACAAATCTGCCGAGTCCACCACCACCTCACCGACAAATATTCGTGTAGTTTTAACTGAACACGCAAAAAAAGAGTACAAGAAGCGTACAACGTTTGTAAAATAAGCTGTAGTAAAAACATAGTCTCAAAAAGTGAATTATTGCTAATAAACAGAACTCCCCTTTCAAAACCGTTTCCTAAAATTTGGATTAATATAGAGAGGTTTAAATGATCTTGTATTACAAAATACAGTTTATCGGAGTCCCTGGATAATTCATCCACACACACACGCTTTTTCATATATAACGTGGAGCTCAAACGTCGATGTGAACATGCTTCGCTGCAGAGCTGCTCCCAAGTAGTGGCTCAGCCAGGAAATCTCCATCGTCCAGATCCGTCTTGTCATCATCTTCCATTTCGTCATCGTCGTCATCAGTCTCAAAGTACATCGACGTCGGGGATTCCCCATACGTCGGTGACAACAACGGCGCCGATCCAGCGACACATTTGCTAGTCGAAGGATTCTTCCCAGCAGGCAACGATATCGCCACGCCGATCCCCACAAAATAGATGAACGAAGCCACCACGTACGGAAGCGCCTGCGACCAGACCGAGTCACGTGTCATAGAAGCATACAACGAAGCAAACACTATAGGTCCCAGTGCCTCGAAAATAGAGCGAGCACCGTAAATTGCTCCTTGTAATCGCCCTTGCTCCTGCATTATTTTTAAGAAACTTTCTGGTTAGAATTTCATGATACATAATAACGTATTCTTACTAAAAAAAATAGACAAACCTTTTCTGACACGTTGATGGATTTTAGCGCTGAGATCGCTGGAAAAGAGAGATCGCTGATGCATCCGGGGACGCACAACGCATACACCAGCCACTTGCGAGGGTAATAGGCGACGGCGACAAACCCACACGTGCCCACCATATTGGCGATTAAGGCGATGACAATCACTCCTTTCTCTCTGACGCAGCTCACCAAAGGCTTGAGTAGTAAAACTTGCCCCAGCAGCGCCAGAACTCCTCCAACCAGCATCAAATACCCGAAATCTTTCACGTCGAACCCGACAATCGTCTACAATATGGATGGTCAATTTCACATTTTGCTAAAAAAAAAAATAGACTCTTACGTTTAGGAAAAACGATTGGATCTGGAAAACTCCGTTCATGACAAACGCCGTGAGCGCGATCAAGCAGGTTAGTCGCATAAACAATTGGTCGCGGAAGAGAATAGCCATCGAGCGGAAGGGGTTCTCCACTACCCATCGGGTTTTACTGACGTGAGTTCGAACTGGCAGCGTCTCGGGTAACAGGAAGATTGCCCATAGAACACGCAGTACAAAGAGAGCAGCTGCGATCTGGAGTATGTGCTCCTATAAATTAATAAACGTGTTAGAACATGTGAGCCAATTTAAACAACAGTGGAGCCTCCTTACCCGAGAGAAGAACGGTGCAGCGAAAGCGCTAGTGCAATAGCCTACAGATAGACTTGCAAAAAGAAACCCGAAAGCAGCAGCACGGTCTTCGGGAGCCACAACATCAGCGATGGCAGCACTCATGACGCCGGCCACCCTGTAAAAAATAATAATTTAATTTCTTTAAAGCACGAATTGCAATATGGAGCCTACCCAAAGCCCGAGTCGACCAGTCTCAGCACGAAATACGGCGTGATGGAGCCATCTGGCTGCATGAAGTACATGACCGAGAAGGGCACACCCAGTCTCAAGATCTGGTTCAGCACTAGAAAAGGCTGATAAAAAAATACCAGAATTAGTAAGCTGCACTCTCCGTTGCAATAGCTTATGTACCCTAGACAACGAACCTTGCGTCCATAGACATCCGAAGCTTGACCCAGCATTGGAGACAGAATCAGGTTCCCCACACACCCTCCAGCCGAGAAAATACTGCATGCAAGACAATAATTGATAAATACAAGCTCATAGTAATTGTAATTATACTCCACTTCGTACCTGGATAGCCAAGCAGCCTGCCGCGAACCAGCAATACACGCCTATTCGCCACAGTCAATGTTAGTAAGAAAAAAAATATATCTTTTTATAAATTAAAGTCAAAATTATCATTTGAAGGACCTCGTCGTGCGGATCGGCTCCACAGTCAATGGGCGAGCCATCCCGATGCAATCTGGCAAAGTACTGCAAGGAATTGTGCAATTATTACAAACATTCGGTCACTTCATGACACGTTTAACCTGTACACCTCCGTCATGACGATCGACAGGACGGGGCTCATGATACCGAACGTCGCGGCAGACAGAACTTGAAGCCCGACAATTGCACTCACAGAGCATGTGACACTCTTGCGCTGCGGCTTGCGAGGCACATGGTCGCTACTGCTCATCGCTGGTCAGATACTATTTTACCTGAGAACGAAAACTATCTTAGAAACCTGTATAAACCGATTTGTACGATCCGTTAACATAGATACAAAATCTAAGTGATGAGTCAGATTTTCGGTGATCGATCTTCAGTACAGATCTACTGTACAGTACTTCTAAGCACTTATTTCAGCAAAGGCTCCGCTAGAAATTGGTCGCCGTCGAGGACAGTACTGCCAGCATAGACAACGTGTTCGTCTTCCTCTGTCTCGATATCATCGTCATCAGTTTCGAAGTAGAAAGCGGACGAGGATGGCGATTCTCCGCAATTCGGAGACGGTAACGGAGCTGGATCAGCCGCGAGTTTACTGGGTGAAGACGCTTTGCCAGCTGGAAGCGACAGGGCAACGCCGATGCCGACAAAGTAAATAAAAGCCGCGACCACGAACGGGAGCGCCTGAGACCAAAGAGACTGTCGAGTCATCGCAGCATACAAAGTCGAAAAGATAATGGGGCCGAGTGCGTCAAACACCGACCGAGCGCCGTAAACTGCGCCTTGCAGACGACCTTGCTCCTAAATATTATAAATTCGTTAAAATGTGAGAAAAATGTTTTTAATCTACAATATTGCCCCAAATATGTTCACCTTTTCCGACACGTTGATAGATTTGAGAGCTGAAATTGCTGGGAATGACAGATCGCTGAGCATCCCAGGGACACTCGCGGCGTAAACTACCCATTTGTCGGGGTAGAACGCCGTTCCGGCAAACCCAACCGTCCTCACGACGCTAGCAATCATTGCGATGATAATAACACCCTTTTCCTTGAAACAGCTCACGAATGGCTTCAGCAGTAGACCTTGTCCCAGTAAAGATAACACGCCTCCGAGCAGCATCAAGTTTCCAAAATCCTTCACATTGAACCCCACAATTGTCTAGGAAACATTAGAAATGACATAGAAAAATGAGTGAGCAGTATAGATACAGTGCAGCGCTCTTCGGCGACGTACATTCAGGTAAAACGACTGGATCTGAAATGTTCCACTCATGACAAAACTCGTTAGAGCGATCAAACACGTTAAGCGAAAGAATAATTGGTTACGAAAGAGGATCGAGATTGAGCTGATGGGACTCTCCATGACCCAGCGCGTCTTGCTCACAGTCGCTCGAATAGGCAACGTCTCAGGCAAGATCGTCAGTGCCCAAATGACTCGTGACACGAAGAGACCTGCAGCAATTTGCAAAATATGGTCCTGATGGAGAAAAAAATCACGTTAGAAAAATTCAGTGACCTTTTCCATCAAAAGAATACTTGCTCGAGAAAAAAATGGCGCCATGAAGGCAGTCATACTATAGCCAACAGATTGGCTGGCAAAGAGAACGCCAAAGGCCGCTGCACGGTTTTCAGGTGCGACAATATCAGCGACTGAGGCACTCATGACACCTGCCGTCCTACAATAAAAAAGATGACAGTTATTCTACATAATATCATTTTGATATCACCAACTTACCCGAAGCCGTAGTCGATTAGCCTTAACACAAAATAAGGAGTAATAGAGCCGTCGGGTTGCATGAAGTACATGACGGAGAATGGTGTGCCGACCCTTGCTAGTTGGCTCAGCATGAGAAAAGGCTAGCAATGCATACGAAACACTAAAAGTCAGTTGAAAGTCCACAACAAACAAACTCATTTTATGAGACCAACCTTGCGTCCATAGACATCTGATGCCTGTCCGAGCATTGGTGCAAGGATGAAGTTGCAAACAGAGCCCATAGCCGAGAAAATGCTTGGAAGATCAGCGAGATTATTAGAATAATATGTACTTCCACCGCCTCACCATGAATATTACCTCGATAACCAAGCAGCTTGCCTCGATCCGTCAACGCACGCCTACATCAAAACAAATAGTTTTTAAAAAGTTCAAGTGTTGCTAAACATGATAATTCTTACCTCATCGTGTGGTTTTGCACCGCAGTCAATCGGCAGTCCACCTCGGTACAATCTGGCAAAATACTTAAGAAAAATTATAAGTAATTAGCTTTTACTTTGGGATGAGAAAAAGGAATCTTGCACCTCAGTCATGAGGATGTAGATGATGGGACTCATGAAGCCGAACGCCGCTTCGGTTAGGAACTGAAGCCCCACGATTGCACTGAATCTGCATGAGATGCTGCGCCTCCGCTGTGGTTTGCAAGGCGCTGTGGCGCTGCTGGAAGTGTTCTCCATCCTCTCCGTGGATTCTCGGATTATGAGATTCCTTCAAGTAATCATCCAATCATATTCGAACACTGGAATATTGCAGCACAAACGTGAATGTTCCCTTTCAAACAGCAAAATGTACAAATAAACCCTGCATTTTCTGCTTTTTTAGGTTCGTGAGTAACGATCCTAAAAAACGAATCGCATTTTATTTATTTACAGTAGCGTGTTGCGGTTGCCTTGGTTCCTAGCAAAGGCTGCATGAGTGACTGCTCGTCTTCCATCGCTATAATGCTCGTAGGAAGGATTCTGTCGATTTTATCGCCTTCTTCCACCTCCGGTTCACAATTGTCGTTGTCTTCGTTCGAGGAGATTGTTGTCGCGAAACCCGGGGTGTTTCGAAGTAAGAAGATTTATTAATGAGCAAAAGCAAAGCAAAAGAAGTGGAGCGCCTTCACTCGAGTGCGCTCCTACATGAAGCTGAAATGGGCGCGTGCCAGCGCCCATTGACGGCATGGGCCGCGTGCCAGCAACCTCTGGCGGCACTACTCGCGTGCACCTGCCCAGCAGCCTGCTTCTTGGCGCGCGTCCCGCGATCCGATTGGGTGGCAACCCTAACTCGTGCTGCAACGTATCCAAGCTCAAACCTTGTGACAGCAATCATGGCGACATTGCCCTCCAGAGCTTGGTTGCGGTTGCTGCGGTGTTGCTAGCCGAGTTGAGCACTGAGCTCGGCGTCTTCCATCGAATCCACATACCCCGCACCTTAGCAGGTACATCATGAAGCAGTGCGGTAAGAGGCTCCCAGGCGTTTTCGATGGCCTGAAGGCCGATCCACGAAACTAGAAGCTCCCAGCGGTTCTGTTGCTGGTTGAAGCGGTAATCGACGAACTTCTCAGCTCCGCGGACGTGTTCAACTCCGCATCAGCATAATACTTGAGACGGGAAGCATGCACGTCGTACTTCCGCCCTGAGACAAGATGCTCAATCTCAAATGAATGAGCGAGAGCTTTCGTCACTCTGAACGGACCGACCCAATGTCCAAGCAGCTTGTTGTGCGGCAGGCGTTGGTCGATCCGCGACCACAGTACGAAATCACCGACATCAAAGTTGGCAGGCGTGCCCTTGTGTGCCGCCATGTCGCGAAGTCGCTGGCGCTCTTTGGTGTTCGTCACTTCCTGGTGGATAGCGTGCAGGAAGGAGCGAAGCTGATCGACAAACTCGCTGATATCATCCAGATCGACGACGCGTTCAGCTCGTTCATCGGTAGAGGGCATCACGATAGCATCCAAAGCCGAAGATGCTGGCAGCCCCGCCAAGACTTCCACAGGAGCGTGTCCAGCAAGAGATGGGACCGGTGTATGATTCATGTTGGCTTGGATAGCAGGTAACACGTACGGCCATTCGTGCTGATCCAGAGCGTACTCCATCAGCAACGCTCGAAGAACCTACATGACGTCCTTGTTCAGTCGTTCGACCGTCCCATTCAGCCATGGTGAGTACACAGGCGTAAATTGGAGCTCCATTTTGAGTCTCGCCGCCAAATGCTTGACCATCTCGCTACGGAAATGCGTTCCTTGGTCGGATAGAAGCGTCTGCGGCCATCCGTATCGGGCATACCAAAGCGTCAATGCTTCCGCAGCGACGTAGGCAGTGGGCGTAGCGCACGGAAACAGCTCACAGAAGTGCGACAGACCATCCTTCACAACCAGCAGGTACGCGGAGTTACCGAAGCCTTCGCCTAGGAACAGGAAGTCCCAATGCACGACTTCGTTTCTCTGTGTCGTCGTCAATAGCGGGCCGTATGGACGCGGGATTTGACGTGGTCCCTTGAAATGCTTGCCCAGAAGACACTCCCGCACAAACTTGGCCACTTTACCGTCTTCCGATGGAAAAACGCTTCTTTAGAGCCAAAGCTATAGCTTTCTGGCCACGATGGCCTTGAGAACCGCAGTGAGCGACGACAAAAATTCGGGCGAGTAAGTCCTGGGCACCAGTGGGGATCCATAGGCGGTTATCGACTGTCACCGCACCATCCTCCCTCTCCGAAGCGTTCTGCAGCCGAGAGCGTTCACTGGAGGCAGCGAGCTGAGCTGCACGAACGTCGTAGTGTAGGGAAGATGAATTGATCGTCAGAGAGGGGGCGAAGCTGGGACAAATCCTCCACGGGGACAATATGACGACTGCGCGTCTGCACAGCGACCACAGTCACGATGTCACGCACGTGCCAACGCGAGACGATGTCGACCCAAACATTTTTCTCGCCGGGAATGTGCTCGATTGTGTAATGAAGGCCCCAAAGACGCATCGCCCAGCGCTGCAGCCGATCGCGGACATGCTTTTTCAGCTCGACATTGGGCACAAAGATGTAAGCCAGGTTGGCGTGATCGCAGTACAAATGAAATCCGTTGGGGCGAAGCAATAGATATTCAAGGTCGTGGCAGGCCTTGACAATCGGGTAGGCCTCTTTTGCCACAACAGTCCAGCTCAACTCGCGGTGCTTGAACAAACCTTCCTTGCACACGATCAGTTCGTGGTGTTGCTCGTCCACAGGCAGAGATGGATCCCAATCGCGCACCTGGGTGACGACAATGGCGTAGCCCGTCGCCGAGGCGTCCGTGAATAGAAGCAGCTGAGCATTCGGGTCAGGGAAAACCAGCAGCGCCAAATCCTTCACCAGCGACTTGACATTACTATAGGCAACCTGCTCGTCGACAGTCCAGGTAGTCGCCACACCCAGTGCGTTTCGGTTGCGCCGACCAAGCCTGGCTCTTTCCGCGTTCAGTTTCTCGTGTAGCGGGGCAATAATTCTCGCGTAGTCAGGAAGCGAGTCGTGCAGCCAATTCGTGGCACACACGAAGTACTGTAGGTCAGCAACGGTTGCTGGAAGCGGAAGCTCTGTCAGTGCACTGACACGGGACGGGTCGTGGCGAACACCTTCACTGGAAATAAGGCGCCCGCATCACAGGGTCTCCAGCTCATACAGTGACGACTTCGCCATGTTGAGTTTGAACTTGGCCGCACTCACAATCTTAAAAAGCGCACGGAGCGCCTGTAAGAACTCCGAGATCGTGGGCGCGAACAGTATCACGTCGTCCACCCAAACCAGTGCCCTCTGGGGGATCAGGGGTGCGAGTTTAGCCTGCACCTGACCTTGAAAATGCAGGGCGGAGTCCATCGCTCCTTGTGGTACACGATTCGGCGTGAACACACCGTCTGGCGTCACGAACGAGAACATCTCTCGGCTGTCCTCGTGCAGGGGCATCTGCCAAAAGCCCTGCGTAGAATCACATCGGGCGAAAAACTGCTTGCCTTGAAACGAGTCGATTTGAGTGGCAGCCGAAGGCATGGCACCGGCAATAGGGACGGTCATTGTGTTAACCGGTCGGTAGTCGATGGTCAGACGAAATTTGTCCTGGGTGCCTGGCTTGCGTACGGGAACCACGGCACTCGCCCATCGCGACGCATTGTTCTGCTCTACTAAGCCATTTCCCACGAGAGACTTCACGTATTCTCGAATAAAAGCAGCCTGTAAAGGGGCATACTTGCGCGGGGCACTGCGGTGAGGCACGGCACCTGGTCGTAGCGTCACCAGGAGTGGCTCGACGTCGGCCGGCGGGTCTGCTTCAACTGCCTCGCGCCAAACGTCTAGAAACTCCTTTAGCAACCCTCGGACGGTTTCAACGCTCTCCTCTGGCAGTCCATTTGCCACCGCACGGTCTAGCAGCTGGCTGAGCCAGATGATTGGCTCAGTATCTGGCTGCGGGTCAGGAAGTGCATCTCCAACAGGAAACATGTCCTCTGCATTGTCAAGCGGTGTGCTCCCGGCCAGTTGAGCGAGCTGCTGGTCAACATCGATGCCGAGCCCCTTTAACACATATCGCCCTAATAAGAGCTCGTCTCCGTTGTCGCCCATAACCAGACACGACACCGATCGCAGCGACACAAGGCCAGCCACCGTTGATAGCTCGAGATCCAAAAGCAGCTCTTGATCGCAGACCAACCGACGCCCATCAGCCATTTCCGCCTCTACAGGCGTACTTACTCGAATGGTCGAGAGCGTGGGCTGCACAGCACGGAGCGAAGCCACGATTTCTTCCGGAATGACGCTCCTGTCAGCACCAGTATCGGGGACGTAAGGCACCGTAAGCAGACTGTTGATGCAAACGGACCCAGTGCTCCTCTTGTGACGAGCGACCTTGGATCTGAGGGCACCAGCACGTTGTTCCTTGGAAGCCTGGAACCTTTCTCTGGCTGCGGTTCGCTGCGCGTCCGTAGCTGTGGGGCAGTCCTTCAGCTAGTGGGGCCCTTTGCAGAACAAGCATCCGTCGTGTGGCGGAGGATTAGATGATCGGGGGCCCCGCGCGAGTTGAGAAGACCGCGAGGGCTGTGCGGCTGCCGACGCTGTTGCGGGCGTTCAGATTGCAGGCGTGACAGTCCCTGGTCGCTGTGACTTGCGTTCTGCCGGTCGCCCAACCTTGGTGTCGGCCTTCATCGCGTAATCGTGCGACAGCCGATGGAAACGCTGTTGCACCTTCGCGTGTTCCAGTATCAGGTCGAAGAGGGCGACGTCATCAGATCTGCAGTCACGCCTCTCCAAGTCGATAAGCCGAGTGATTTGGGCTTTGAGAACAGAAGGCTGTAGGTTGTCCACCAAGATGCGACAACGAGCCTTCACTCTGCTCTTGTAGCCCGCCTCGGACTCGTTTCCAGTTCCGATAAGCTTTTGCAGTCCGTTGTCCTCCACAATCCCATCGAAGTCCTCGTAATAGCGGAAGACGCGTGCGTCGCAGTCATCCACCGAGAGGTCCATCTTGAGCTTCTGACGGAACAGAGACGTGACATCTGGCACGAACTCGTTCTTGAGCGTATGACGGCGGGCCTTGACAGCATTCATGATGTCAGCATCCGTCACTGAGGCGAGCGGCTTCTTCAGCACATACGCGGACAAATTTCAGCGTTTTCAGACAATCTTTCACTGTGGCCACAACGTTCTCAAACGTCTCGCCGGTTGTCGCGCAGCGGTGCCGAATCTTCTCCACATAGCGCTCCCATTCGCGATACCACTCTATCAGAGCAGCATGGTCCCAGCTGGACAGCTCCGGTGCCCGGATGACCTCGAAGATCGGCTGGGGGATCGACATCTCGACGTCTCCGTCGGAGTCTAGCCTGTAGCCTGGACCAGACATGGTTGACGTTGAAGTTGAAAGAACCGAACTTAATGTGAGCCGCACTTAAGCCGGGTACAAATTTATAATCCGCACTTAGTCGACGAAGTCCGGTAGTGTCCTCGACACAACGACGACAGCAGGTGTCTCTTGGTCGACGCGCGCACCGAGAGACCGAGGATTAAAAAAAATTGCGCTTCGACTAGCGCAAAGCTAGCTTTGTCGCGAAACCCGGGGTGTTCCGAAGTAAGAAGATTTATTAATGAGCAAAAGCAAAGCAAAAGAAGTGGAGCGCCTTCACTCGAGTGCGCTCCTACATGAAGCTGAAATGGGCGCGTGCCAGCGCCCATTGACGGCATGGGCCGCGTGCCAGCAACCTCTGGCAGCACTACTCGCGTGCACCTATTAGACACACTAGACTCACGCAGAAATCTACAAGAGGAGGCAAGACAGTGAGATTCGACAACACGATAATTCCCGAGGATGAAGAGTATCCAAGCTCAAACCTTGTGACAGCAATCATGGCGACAATCGTGGACGCAGTATCGCTTGGAGACGAACGTCTAGCAGCATTCAGTGAGAAAGCCAAGCCGATTCCGACGAGGTAAATGGCCGGAGCGATCACGAACGGAACGCTTACGACCATTGTGACTTCTTCTTCATGGAAGCGTACAGCAGGGAGAAGACGACAGGACCGATGGCAGCGAAGACCGATGGCAGCGAACACCGACTGAGCAGCATAGATTGCGCCTTGTAGACGTCCTTGCTCCTGTAATGAACAAAACGAGGTGGTATAAAGAAGAGTGTGATAAAAGCTACGTTACATACCGCTTCTGAAGTTGTGAAGGACATCAGTGCCGAAAGGGCAGGGAACCATAGCTGACTGACGCATTCCGGTACACTCAGTAAAAATACTAGCCATTTATGTGGGTAAATGCAGTGTCCACAACCCCGAATGTGCCCAAAAAAGCAACCGATCAGCGCTATAACGATCACGCCTCGTTCTTTGACACACTTAGCAGCCTACAGCCGCTAAAACACCGTTAAACAGCATCAGACTGCCGAAATCCACCATGTTGAATCCCACAACAGTCTGTTTAAAAACAGAAATACTAACGAAAAAAGTCAAAATCCAGAACAAACCAAGCAAAAATTTACATTTAGATAAAAAGTTTGAATCTGGAATATGCCTTCCGAAACAACACTCGTCAACGCGATCAGAATAGTCAAAGTGATGATCAACCTGTTGCGAAATAGGATAGAGATGGAGCTGAACGGGTTCTCCACTGTCCATTGAGCCTTGCTCGTGTGTACTCGAGCATGTAATGTTTCGGAAACAAATGCCATTGCCCAGACGACACGAAGTATGAAAATACCACAAGTGATTTGGAGAATCATTTCGTGTTCAGCGCGAAGGTTAGAAATCAGAAAAAATGTTAACAAATTCATTAATGCACTTACGCGAGAGAAGAATGGGGGCAATGAAAGCACTGGAGCAATAGTCGACAACGATTCTGGCAGAAAGAAGGCCAAACGCAGTCACACGGTAGTCAGGAGAGACGACGTCGTTGGTTTGGCACTTGCTCGGCAGAAGGTAGAAGTGAAAGTGAGAAATATGTTCAAAGGAGTTTTTAGTTGGATTCTACATGCACGCTACACAATAACCTGAAAAGACACGCGCCTACACTCGCTCTGATTGGTCCCAATAGTGAAACCAAGTCAAAATGTCGTACCTTCAACATTGTCGACTCGACACTTGCGTAAAGGTCCTTGGGGGTCTGGCTTCCGGTCGCCTGCCCGTTGGCTGGCTCTTACATCAATGTCCAGCACTCCTCCTCAGAGCCTCGGGGTTCCTGAATCACTCGATGTCGACGAGTCCGATCTTCTCCCGTAGCTGCTTCACCCGTGGCGCCGGTAGCGCCTTCGTCAGCAGGTCGGCAAGCATTTCCGCGCTAGCCACATACTCTGGCACCACGACGCCCTTCTTGGCGCAGTCTTGGATGAACTTGAGCTTGACGTCCACGTGCTTCACCTTGGCCGAGCTTGATTCGCTCTGAACTTGCACGATAGCCGCTTGGTTGTCCATCAGCATGGTCATAGGCAACTTGGTGGCGATATCCAGCTCACCCAGTAGCTCCTTCAGCCCGAGTAGTTCCTGAGCACCCACTGTCGCAGCGACGTACTCCGCCTCGGTCGTCGATAGTGCCACGGAACTCTGCTTCTTGCACTGCCATGACACCGCCATTCCGTTTACTTGGATGATTGCCGCGCTCACAGACTTGCGGTCGCTCTTGTCAGCTGCAAAGTCGGCGTCCGTATACGAGCGCAACCGTAGTGGTAGTCTTTTAGCATTGTCGTCGCCGGACATATCCATCTTGTGCGATCGGGTGCCACTCAGGTACCTGGCGATGCGTTTAGCCAGCTTCCAATCCGCCATCGTTGGTGCATGAGTCCGTCGCGTTGCACAGTGTACAGCGAACATAATGTCAGGACGCGTGCATCTCGCAATCCACAGCAAGCTCCCCACCAGTGACTGGAAATTTGTCACCGTTGGTCCTGCTGACGTGGTCTCCTTTGCCGTGTGCGGAAGTAGTTCTGCCAAATCTGACATTGCCGCGTCTTCTCCTCCGATCGGCGATTGCACCGAATTTGCTTTGTCCAACCCAGACTTGGTGAGCATCTCGACGATTGCAGCCTCTTGGTCAAACCTGTAACCACTGAGCTCGTTGTACTGCACGCGCATACCAAGAAAATTGCTGGCAACACCGAGATTCTTGAGCTTTAGGACGGACATGTCAGCGAAGAACTGGGAAACCCTGTTCTCGTTCGTGCCAGTAACCAGCAGGTCATCCACGTACGTTCCGACGACCGTCATTCCACCGCTGTCAGCCTTGAAGTACAGGCACGCGTCCGTAATGCACTGGATGAACCAAGCTTGACCAGTTCGCGATGAAGGTGCTCATGCAAAAGGCGTCCTGCTTGCTTCAGACCGTAAAGGCTCTGACCAAGAAGTAGGCCAACTTCATCCACGCTCTCAGCTCCGAGCGTCTTCAGCTCTTCCTCCGTGATAACGAGTCCGTCGGGGACGAACAGCAAAATCTCGATACCCTCCTCCGTTTTCGCCTTCACATACGCGTTTGGAACGTCGCCGTGTCTGGCAGGCACATTCCATATGATCGCAATGACGAAAATGAGCTTGACACCAGTCATGGTAATTACAGCCGCAAACACGAGATAGAAGTTTACGCCGAACTTTTGCTCGTTGCCACAGGCGACTAGTCGAGCCTTGTACCGCTCGATCAAACCCGTGCCTGTTCATTTCTTCTTGTACACCCACTTAGTATGCAAGCGAATGCTACCAGGCTCGAACTTGACCAGCTTCCACGTGTTATTCGCCTGTAGAGCTTCAAGTTCTTCCTTTTCAGCTGCCTCCCAAAGCGCGCTCTCGGCGCACTTCCGTGCCTGCCTGTAGTTCTTCGGTTCCGGGTCATCAGCGTGGGCATTGACGTCCTTAACTTCGGATACGGTCAAAACCACAGGCTCAGTGTTCAGTCTCGACTCGTCAACCTCCACGTCTCCATCAGCTTCAGCACGGCGGCGCGACTTGCGGCGTGAGCGACGAGATCTTCGTGGTGTGAAACGTGGTGCCGGTGGCGTCGTCGTCGTGAGAGCCTGAACAGTTGGTGGCTTCACATCGGATTTCTCCTCCAACGCGCGGATGTTCTGCACATGCCTCGTGACGATCACCTTGTTCTCCGAAGGCAGGTACACCTTGTACCCCTTGGTCGATTCGTCCTTGCCGACGACGACGCCCTCACACGCCCTCTTCTTCATGGCGCGCTTTCCGGGGTCACGAAACACGGAGCACTTTGATCCAAACATGACAATGTCGCGAAGGTTTGGTGCTTCGCCAGTCAGCACTTCGAGCGGCGACTTCCGATCCTCGTTAGCGCGTGACGAGCTCCGGTTCAGCACGTACGTCGCGTACTCAACCGCGTCACCCCAGAAGCTCAGCGGCAATCCTGCACCGAACACCATACACCGAGCCATGTTGAGAACCGTGAATTGGTGATGCTTACACTCTGGATATTCCTTCGACACTACGGCTACATCCGACGTTCTAAGTCGGACATTTAAAGAAATACCATCCGTCCGAGATCCCGGACGCTGATTTCTCCTCGAGTGACGCGGCAACTTTCCAGCGAGATGGTCCTCCTCCTTTGATCGACTCTTCGGGCGCTCAGCGTTGGATCGTTGAGCGAAACATCGACCACGACTTTCGCCAGTGTCATGGTACCCGTAACGGTCACACTGAAGCGTTTCCACAGGGTCGCGCCCTGCGGGACAAGGAACAACACTATCGCGTGCGTTGGCTGGAACCCCCAGGTGAAGATACTTGGGAGCCGCGCAGTCGTTTGCGGGAAGACGCTTCCGACATCGTGAACGAATACGAGAAGACACTCACGTTCCGAAGCGTGAGTGAGCCGGGTGCTGATATCCGCGGTGAAGAAGGCGACCAGCCTCCGCGGGTACACGGAGGCACTCGCCATGATGATTAAGAAGAAAACTGGAGTTGACTCCGGGATCGAACCGGTGACCAGCTACACGAGAACTCGGCACTGTACCGCTGAGCCCCTCGGTGAGTAAGCCGAGTGAACAAGTGAGTGAGTAAGTGAGTGAGTGAGTGAGTGAGTGAGTGAGTGAGTGAGTGAGTGAGTGAGTGAGAGCGAGTGAGTGAGTGAGTGCGGCGTGAGTGACGCGAGGTTCCACGACGACGAGTGAAACCCCAGCTCGCAGGTCACCTATATTCCGACGTCGCAGTCGCCTGGGCCTACAAGATACTTCTTCGTACGCTGTGCAGTCGCACATCGTCGCTCAGTCAACTGAGTGAAGTGGTTGTCGTCCCCGTATTCGCAGTCTCAAGTACCTCGTGCGCTGTCTTCGTGATCCTCGTGTCTGCTAGAACATCGTGGACGTTCTACGATGAGCGTATCCCTAAGCACAAGGAAGTCTCCAGTCGG